TGCAACTATAACGACATGTGAATAATCCCGCCCACTCTAAAGCGGTACTGAACTGCAGTGGAAACGCGAACCGTGCCGAGCCGAACCACGCAGTGGAAAAGCGCCATAATTGGTATGCGGTGGTGTTCTGAAATTAGGAGGCAAAGTGCTCAGTTTTTTTTTTTTAAGTTTTTTTTTATCAAATCAAATGTAAATTCATGTCCCAGTCACATTTTCTTGGTTAAATAAACATTGCTTACATTATCAGGAAAAAAAACGATTTTACTTTATACTTTTGCATTAACAATGTAATCAATATTTTATTAATTAAAGCCAAGTATGAATCTCATCAAGTTAGTGTTTTTAAGCATTTTACAATTTATTCCAAAATAATAACTCCAGGCAGTAACAATTTAATATATTTTATTTGTGAACTTATGTTCAGCTATTCTTTTTAATATTTAACTTGTAACTATTTTTGAAATTTTCCGTTAACTAATTTTTACTTTTTCAGATCATCCGTCATTAAAGCCCGGTAAATATTGGTCACAGACGCGGGGGTCTGTTAAAAGTCAATGGGTTCAGGGGAGGCGAGAGAGCCACGGACTCCCGCTGTAACTGTACCTGCTGGTAATGTTTCTTTAGAAAAACGAGTGATTTATACTCTTTTTAATATTATATTTTATAACGTTTTATTTTTGTACAACAAATTTTTTGGGGAGACAATTTTGAGGAGACACTGCCTCCCTTGCCTACTTGGAGGAAACGCCCCTGACACACACACACACTGTGTATATATATGAAATAGTGTAGTTGGCACTAATTTTCAAATCAAAAGAAAGGTTCTGAACTTTGTCCACAAAACTGTTAATAGAACCATTTAGAATTGCATTATAACTTGTAAGAGTAAAATAAACGTTTGGATTTTTGTGAAAGTGAACCTGGAGTGCAAACTGGGTCCATATGCAGAGTTTGTGTGGAGCAGTAGTGGAGAAATAAATGTTCCATTATAGATATAATTCTATTCTGGGCCCCAAGATTATTTTTGACATCGGGCACTTAATGATCTATAGTGTTAAGATACATCATGATGGGGGCCTACCGGCAGCGGATCCACGTAGAGGATGAGGAAATGAAGAGACATGGAGAGGCAGATGGCTCCCAGCAGCCAGATGTTCTCCCAGGGAGGCATGCGTAGCAGAGACTGATTCTCTGACAGACTGCAGGAAGAACAACGACACGTTTACTTTGATTAAAAACAAGCTTTGTGTTGCTATTTAACCCCTGTCATGCCTGAGTCTAGATGTCAGGTGGATGGTGACTGACCTGTTGAGGGCGTTACACATCTC